TAGTTTAACCCGACGACAACCACGACCGCGGCATATAATACCTGTCTGACAAGCTACCTTACCCGTGTTGTATCAGCCGGGCATGTACATACACATATACGCGCGTGTGTGTACGTATTGTCCGTCGACGTGTGCGAAACACGCGCTTTTGTGTGCACGCGGAGCTTACCGCACGGCATGCACAGGCGTACGGCGGTTGCGTGTGCCCGCGTTGCACGCTCGAGTGTGGTTCGAGAATTCGAGAATTCGAGAATTCGAGGATTCGGGTAAAACTAATTGCAGGCCTGTCGGAAAACGGTTGGCGGGATCTTGCGTATCGCATGCGAACAGACCTTCATCGATTTCATTCCATGGACAATAATTATACTTTTATCATTTCGTGGGTACATCTTGTGCGTCACATTTCATACATTGTTTCATGTCACTTTTTGACGTTACAAAAAGAACCTTTGTACGACGAAGAGAATGAATTTCATGTACTTCGCTTAAAGAATGAGCGATAATTCTGGGGTATCCTATACGTTTGAATGATATTGTAAAATTTATTTGTATTCATGAGCATGTATTATGCGCAGCCGTCACGTTTTGTCACGAATGTAAAAGAAGGTATGATGAGAACGGAGCGAAGTGTTCGCGTGTACTCTTGTAGCGTGCGGCTTTCTTTATAATTTCCGCAGATCGCTTTAATCGTATTACGAAGAAATCGTTGAAGCATGCGACGAATAGAACTCAGGAGGCTTTCCCAGGAGGAACGATCTATTAGCGAAATTGGTATTAATTACGTTAGCTCGCGGTAAAATTAATTATTCCGCTGAAGAGCGTCTCCCGGCACTTTTGTTTTAATTTCATTCTACGTACATCAGTTTTTATCTCGCGTGCGAGTCAAGTCGCGGCGCATTATTATATCGTATTATTATATCGCAACTCATTATTATACAGCGAGTGATAAGAAAGAAAAAGCATTAATAAACATTCAGGCTAGCAGTGGTCGTAGAAAAATAAAGTTTCGATCGAAATACGCTGCCAAGCGAAATATTTTTGGTGTATATATTGTAAATTTAAAAAAATTTTCACGTAAAAGATAAAAATAGCTTCTCGAAACAGCGTAATGTATTTTCAATAAATTATAAGGAATCAAATTAGTTGATGTTTTTCGATAAAAAAAAATGACGTGATAATTTTTTAAATACAATTATCAATCAAATCAAATTTCAATATTCATGAATTTACAGAATTCAGCAAAGGTTACCGAAATAAATTTGAAACGCATTATTAATTTTTCTAGAATGACATTTCCTTTCTGATATATTAACACTAACTATATAGTAGTAGAGTCGCATAATTTATTAAAAGCGTTCCATACTTTTTCATTAAAGCATGAAATAACGAAGAAATATGTCCATTAGGGTTTTCTACACACACACGCACATACTCGTATATATATATATATATATATATATATCGGAATATTGTTGAATATTTAAATATTTTCTCTATCAACACTCTATGTTATTATTACATTATTCCACACGTCGCACGCAACCAGCCAGTGCGTTTTGCAGCTGGCGAATTAGCGAGTCAGCTTAGCGACGCGTATGAGTTGTAAAACAATGGCGAATGTTAAGCTATGGAACGTATGTTAACAAGCATGAAAGCTTAAACCCGGATAAATTAATCTGCATTACTTCGCGCAAACGTGATCGTTATCGAGTTACCGCTACTTTAACTGTCGAAATGGTCTTAATAAGCTTGCGGGCGATCCAATTACGTAGTTTATCCGCGTTTGTCTAATCACACTCATTACTCGTGAAAATACTCCGGTGCGGCGTGACAGTGCAATATTTCGGTGTAACGTTGCGCTAAATTAGTCTGGACAAGAGCGCGCGATCACGTTTTTTTACAATCATACCTCTTTTTAAACAAAATAAAAAATTGAAAAGAAATATTTAAAATATTTTTCAAAAAGAATGAATGAATAAATAAATTGAAATTATACGAATAAAATACAAAGTGTCGCAGTTCTGTATACATTACAATTACACGATCGCGGTTGATTGATCTCGGCAAACGAAATAATGATGCCGGGATTGCAACACGCTTTTATTTACCCGACTTTTCCGGCCGGCGGAATATCGGACGAATATTTATAACCCCGAATCGTTCGAGCAGCAACAAGATCGATCGAGTGCTATTCCTATTACATCGGTGCTCTCCGAATGTTTACCCGGGGCAAACGATTGATTGATCATCGGTGCTAGTTATTTTCAATCGACACGAGACGATTTTTATTTTATCGATAACCACAACGACAGTGGTTATTATTTATTCGCGCGATTCTATGAGAATGACTGTAACAACTAGATCATCTGTCGATTCTGTCAATCATTTATTAACTCCGGCTAATGGAATTAATGAAATCCGAAGATCAGAATCTCGATTACATAATAAAAATAAATCAAGTTTCGATGAAAACCTGCTCGAAGTTAATCCACGAACAAGAAGTTCTGTTTTATTTTTACTCTCGATTGCTATCAACTTCGAAGACTGTTCAGTTAGTAATTAGCTTTTCATTTAATCTTCACGATAATGTAGACCCGTCTTACATTCACCAAGGAATACAATATTCATGTCTCCATAATTGGGCCCTTTATTTAATTATTTGTCTGTGACGTTTGTCATGTGAATGTATGGAAGTCAACATCGTTTCAAAATGTACGAAAATTATAAAAATACCAGGAAATATTTCGAGTAATATTCGACGCTTGAGATATTACAAGTATCCTTTTATTTTACGGGTTTTCCGAGACTTCAATCGTAGGTTTAAGATCGTAGGTAGAATTGATCGTAATCATATCTATTGTTTTTCTTTTTCTTTTAGTAATAATATTTGTATTAATAACCATAAGGACATAAATAATTTCAAGATTACGTAAAAAAGTAAGTTAATATCCATTTCGGCCAATGGGCATTTTTTAATAAGAATACAGTGTAACATAGTGAATCATTTTATTCTTATTTAACGTCGGCAAACAATAAAAATGTGACAATTCACTGTGTTACACTGTATCCTTGCTAGAAAACGACCAATGTAGAGTCACTTTAATCTCAATTCAATTGTTACACACAATATATTCAACTTTTTTTTATATATGTGTAGATATGTACATACACTGGAAAAATAAAATATTATTTTTAACTTAAATACGTACAAGTGGATTTTCTGTAAAAAAATAAAATGTTAATTTTAATTTAAAAACGTTTAGTGGACTTTCTGAAATATGAAAAAATGTTAAAATAAACACAAAAATGTTAATTTTAACATTTTTGCATGTATCAGAAAGTCCACTAAACATTATTAAAGTTAAATTAACATTTTATTTTTTACAGTGTATACATACACACGCATACTCTCTTCGTCTCTTTTTAATTCTTAGCGTTTACCGGTTGGAAATTCGAAGTAATCGTACGTAGAGGGATATCTGTACATTTAATTACATTTATCAAAAAAAAAAAAAAAATATTATATTTATATTACCGATAAAACCGGAAGTTACAGTTAATGCAAAAATTTTATACGACCAGGAAATGTAACGAGGCGAGTAATTTCTGCTAGTGAACGTTGCACAAATTATTATCTTGTTCAGTTGAATGTATAATGAAATAAATGCTTTATATCCACTGGAGAAAAGTGGCGCCTGTAATCCTTTCTCGCACAATTATTGCTCGTTATTATAGCGCAAGGAAAATCGCGACGCGAGCGGGGATCCTGTTTCCTATACTGCTCTCCTCATTTATACGCATCGCTAACGGTGAACATCATTTTGTATAACAACTCTAACGATGCTCGATATTATTTAATATCCCGGGAAAACAAGTGGGCGGTAGACGCGCTGATTTTACGTTGAACGATAGAAGATGCGATCGTATAACTCCCTTACGACGGTGATTTCCATAATAATAACGCAGACTTTGTATGCGGTGCCATTAGTGTTATTACTGTTATTCAGCGAATTGCAGAAATTCGATGAATCAATAAGCAATGTGTATGACTTTATCCGAAGAGCCTGGAGCAATAACAGGGTAAATTTGATGGGAGCAAATTTGACAAGCGAATACTGGGAATATACATGAATCATTAATGGTCTAAATGCAAATTCTTCGTATTTTACCAATGTCTGTTAACATTAACAGTTAAATCGTTCGTATTTTTAACAAATTAATTACAACTGGATAGATTGTTAATTTAATATTCGAAGAGTTTGAGAAAAGCGGTCAGGCATGTATTTTTACGATTTTATATATTGCTAGAAGAAAGATTAAGTAAATTGCATTAATTGTATGAAATCGCAATTTGTATATAAAAATACGTTTCTTTAATGAAAAAAAAAAACATATCATTTTCATTGGATAAAATAATAAAGTAGATCGGTCGGTAGATAATTTATTCAAGAATATCATTAAATAATTGTAGCAGGATGTGAAAATAGAAATGTTATCTCTGTTATACTCTTTTCAGATATCAAATAGAATTAATTGTAATTAAATTTTCTGCATTCGACTGACTCTTGCATGAAAAACACATGATTTGAAATTACATGTAAAATTATCATTTAAAATTAATATTATTTCATTTATCATTAATTACAGATCCATTAAGTGCAATATGACAATTAAAATACATCAAAAGAAGATCAACAATATACAGAAATTAATGTAAAACTAATAAGTAGAAATTAATATAAAATCAATTTGTGTAAAAATACGGTTTTCCGATGAAGAACAAGATTGTCGTTTTATCGATTGATTATAATTGTCAATTAAGAGAGTATTAAAAATCAATGCTTCGTTCGCTAAATCAGTGCTATCGTTCTAGGATTAATTTCGCTCCCTAATCCTCTGTAACTAAGAGGAAGCTAAGGGGATAACAAGAAGGTCGGAGGTCCAAGGTGGCGGAGTATGCCAAGGCAAATGGGCGAATTAAGCTGTAACGAGGTTCTTACCTCCTTCGGTCTCGTGCCAAACGATGCCCTCGAGGGTGACGGAGGTACCGGGCTCACAGGGCCCCAAACACTCTGGTTCCGTGATGGTCCCCACGCTGGTCCCAACGCATACGTCGGACATGTCCTGCAACAGAAAGTTCGACGAACGGTGAGCCACCATGTTGTCACATGTCACATGTATGACACGCAGCATCGATATGTATCGCATTCGTCAAAATTTCGCCCGCGTGAAACAAAGCCGCGTGAAATAATCTATAACATGAAGATTGTACCATGCACAAAAAGAATGGTTTGGCTAAAAAAATATAAAAATTTAGCTAGATACAGATTTGAAAATAAATTTGTTATGGACACACACCATAAAAATAGTTATTGGAACGTCCAAGCTGAGTGCTGGAGTGTTAAAACCTTTTAGAATATTTTATTATTACTCATTATATGTTTGAGCTTCCTACATATAATTATTTTGATACTTTTAACTAATAAATTATTTTCAAATCCATATTTAGATAAACTTTTAGATATTTCAGCAAAATCATTCTCTCCGTGTAAATTTATTATCTTAATGTATAAATAATAAATATTTTAACAACGATTTTCAGCGATTAAAAGCTAATTTCTTCCTGATGATTAATTTATTTTGAAAAGTATTTTATCGAGGATACTGCTGTTTGTATTAACTCTCTAATGCAAACGTAGGAGACAGACAATGTATATTGTTCGTAATTAGATTGAGATAGTCTCGTATGTCCAGGGACTTGTCATTCTAACTACGAAGCGGTCCCCGTGACGCCCAGGGACCTGCATTCTAACTACGACACGAGAATGGCTATCAAGAGCGATAGCATGACTGAGCGATGAGGATGCTAACTAACGATCCGTTAGATCCATGAACTATCTCATGGCGAATGCGTGATATTAATGTCTAATAAACGTCTGTTTCGAGAGACCGCTCGAATATTTTCGCGCGGCTCTGCTGTGTACCTCTCATACGTTTAATTCAATTCATTCACTCTTCACAGTTGAGCAACGCGACATAAAATCCGTCGCGTATATATGGTGTCTTTCGACGTGAAAATATACATTTTTCAGTCCATACATTTACGGTGTATTCTGGCTGGCGTAATACACAGTGCACGACCGTTCCGCGCCGACATGACCGTTGCGCGACGATTTCGACAAGGTGTTAACGAGTCATCGTACAGTATATATATCTCTCGGGCTTTTCAAAAATATCGGGTCGGGCTGTCACGAAATACCGCCGTACGCGGCGACGAGAGAGAGAGAGTATCGCTTCGCCATTCATTTCGGAAATCGATGTAATCCCGGTCGCGCTGGACGCGCGCGCGCGCGCGCGGAAAATGCATCCCGGGTTGGCCGCGGCGGCCGAGTGGCCTCGAGGCGCGACGAAACGCAGCCGAGGATATAAAAGCAATTGGAGGAGGTCCCAATTAACGTCGATCGTACACTCCCTCCGTGTCACCCGCTCTCGCTGTTTATGGAAATATCCGCCCGGCCGCCCGGCCGCGCGGCCAATATTTCGCCGAACTGGGAAACGCGGTTCTGCCATCGGCGCGTTTACACCGGCGCTTGCAAATAGAAACGCGCGACCCCCGGCGAAAGCGCCGAGAGTTGATATTCGCATAACGTTTCCGCACACCTACCGTGTTGCTGGAAATTGACGAACACGTCATTCTCCTATATATACGGATATATAGCACACGGCGCTATCAATTCTGATTTACGCCCGCGGGACAGATCGCATTTTACAGGATCTCGACCGCGTGATAAAATTTCCTCTGCCCCTCCTTCACAAATTTTATTGCAAATATTTTTATTTCCATTAAACATGTTTGCCTCTTATTTTCATGAGTATTAAAAAGCATATTTATACGACGTCAGATAAATACGGCTTATTATGTTGCGCGATGCAACAATATAAATAAATTCATCTAGATATAACTCGAATCTATATCATTTTTATCGTTACCATTACTATCATTAACGATGGAGTACCGCTATTTTATTTAGCAGTTATTATTATACGCTGTTATATTATTTACCGCTTTTATTATTATATGCAATACATTTTCATATGTATATGCACGCACTTAAACATATAAATATAGGATAATATGGAAACGCAACCGTGAGCCGGTTTGTTGCGGGTTTAAAAGCAATTAGCGAGATGTCTGCTGAATGAATGCGCTCTGCTGGTCGCGGTAATTTTCGCGGCTCGATGCAAACAAATTTCCATTTCGGAAAACAAAATCGTCGCGCGGTTGGGGCTTTGAGAGCAATTAGTGATGCCGCGCATAATTAACGCGTTAATTAGCAGCGCAATTTTGGGTAACGCGGGCGTAACTTTTTCGCGATATATCGGAATATCGACGTCGCGGCGCGCTGTTACAAATTTTTCATTTATTCACCCTGTGGGATTTAAATGTCACCGATATACCCGTCGTTCGATATTAATATCTGCTTTCGCGGAACGGATTTTCAAACGACATACAAAGCCATATGTCCGCTCGATAAATCCGTTATAAATCCCCAGGAGCATTCTCGCAATAACACAATTCCTCGTAGGCATAAAATCGACAGCAGAGCTCGATTACTTGAATCATCGATCGGCTAGAAACAACGGAATTATTTATTTTATTTTTGACATTTTATTTAACTTTGTATACTATCGAAAGTTATATCGATTCACGAATGGAATCGACCTTTAGATAGCTTCAATATCTACATGCGTGCTGTATATTAATCCAGACGAATTTATCGGCGTTATCGCTTCGGCGGCGTTTCGCTGTGGAATAAAATTTGCGCCGGAAACGCGTTTACAGGCGGGTTGGCTGAATGCGTCGAAACGCATTAACGTGGATAATCGAGAAAATGAGTGACAGCGTGCGCGAATGGATCCGCATGCATGTACAAAATATTCGTGATTCGTTGCATCTCTCTTCATCTTTTTTGATAAATTTATGAAATGCTCTCAACGGTAGAATGCAGTTGATTTACGATTTTTAATGCCAAATACCCACACGAGGTTTGTAATAAAATGAGAAATAATAGAGGAGAAGGCGGTATAATAATTAGTATAGATATAATGGCCCCTCTTATTATTCTCGCTATTATTAGGTGGTAAATTCCAGATTACTTCCGGACGAATTAATTTATTTGATTTTTATCGAATTGAGCCTTGTTTCATGTAGTTTTGTTAAAATAATCATTCTATATAAATTGATTGCCTAGTATTTATCTAAAATTTATTTTCAAAATTCTTTGGAGTGGAATCTCATTCTAAACAGTAAAAATTAAATCAGTCTTAAAAAAAAGCTCAATCTCTTTAAGAGTGACAATTCACTCTAAAAATTTTAGAAAATATATTATACGTACTATAGATTTTCAATATTGAGCAACTTACATATGGAAGAAGTTATGAATACGTATATACGTTTTGCAATATTTTACTTTTTTGTTTGTAACCAAATACCTACTGTTTATTTTTTTACAAGACTAGTTATTTAAATTAATTTTTATAAAAGGCCACATTACCATTCCTGTTTCTCTTCGAGCCATTATGCAGTCACTACATTTTTATAAATAGTATCTTAATAAATGATTCGTAACTTTGAGTCTAGAATCGGACAATACTTTAACGAACGTAATCATTAAGTTTTCAATTTAAATATCAGTTATTAAAATTTAATACAAGCTATTACATGAAATGTAAAAAGAGTGCCGTAATACTACCTTCTCCTCTAAAGTATTTCATTATCTTTACAAAATTAAAATCCTTTCTCATAAATCCTTTAATTTCGCTGAACTGCACTTTAAGGCTATTCGTGCCTTCGTATTTTCGTTCAGAAAGAACTAACTCTAAATTGGTAGGGGGATCCATGATTGAAAATAAGAGAGGCAATTTCGGAATATTCTACGGCGAAAGGGTAAGGGCGGTAGATAGATAGGTAGGTAGGTAGGTAGGTAAAAGCACAGAGGAACGAGCATGCGGCCGTCTGTCGGGCCCGAGATTACAATGGTAGTTTGAAATGCAAATCGCGGAGTTTATGCTTGGTTTCCATAATTACAGAAGCGCGACGCGCGCGTTACCTCTCATAATGTACAATGCACACGGACCGACGTAATCGTGGCATTGTTCTGGCGCGAAACTATTTTGCCGTGTTACGACGACGACGACGACAGCGACGACAACGATGACGATGACGACGACGACAAGTCGGCGATGCGGAAGGACAGCTGTGAAACGCGAGATGCGACAGCTTGCGAGAGGAAGGAAATACATCGAAACATTACCAACGAGCTCGCGCAGCCTGTCGTGACAATAAAGAGAAACGACATCGTGTCGTTATTCGACGGATGTCAGAGAAAAAACCGCTGTCAAAGTTTCAATAATGCAGAGATGTCGATACTGTTTTAAAGAAATGTCACAAAAACATTTAACAATAAATAAGAGAACGATGAATAACGTAATAATAATTTCATGGCTCGTTTGAAATTAGGAATGTTTTCATTAGGAATATTAAAAAGATAGATAATCTCATTTTATCACTTGATATATCCTCGATGTTGGCACAATTTGTTGCTAGAAAATTTTTAATAGCTTTATTTAAATTCGCATTCCAGGTAAACACGATGCCAATTCATTTTAGCAATGCCGTTTTAATCTTTATTTCTCTTGATTTAATAAGATTCCTAGCTGGATCGTTAATTATTCCGCGTTTTTGCTCTGGTACTGTGGACTGCAACGAATAATCCTACGCACAAAACGAGAAATATTTAAAAAAGAATGTTGTCGCGAGACTCGTAAAGATTGTAGGGTTTGTGATGCGTGCAACGCAATCGTGCGGAAAAGCGGGAATAAAACTGACGCTTTGGGGTCCCTACTCTTTCAATATTATTGTAGAATTATTTTGTACAATATTATAGATCTTTTTTAAACTATTTAAAATAAACAAAATCTAGAGGTTCAATGTAGACAAATCAATAACAATGTACAATATTTTAAATATTAGGTAATAATATTGATCATCTAAGGGCTGCTAAGACTATTCCTTGTAGATTAAAGTAAAAACGCGGAATAATTATTAACAATCAGCTAGAAAT